AGAACTCCTCAGACTCAGACGGTTTCTTCCGAATGGGACTGTTCACGTCATCGAGGTCCTCGTCCAGGTCATCATCTCCACCTCCATCTCCTGCTCCTCCCGTCGAATCGGAGACCTTTCCCTTCTTGGTGTTTTCACTCTCGTCGACGTACAGGCCGGAGTACACCTCCATGCTCATGTCCTTGTCGCCCTTTTGCGAGGCGAGGCGACTGGCCAGAGCGGAGGCGAGATTCGGGTACTGACTGGCGCCGGTGGTGGGCACGACCACCGCATCGTAGCCGACCGTGTTTCGCCGGGATCGGGTGTTGGGGGCGCGGTAGTTGCGGCCGTTTCGGTCGCAGCTCGGTGGCTAAAAATGGGGAAAAAGATTAGGAAACTTCGAAATTTTTTAGAACTTCAAATCAGCTCCTACCACATCATCACAGCCGCCGCCCTCCTTCAGGCAGAGTCGCACATTGCACTGGTAGTAGACGGAGCTGGTGTAGGGGAACTTGTGGGCGTGAAAGGTGACCTGGGCGCGGGTCAGGTTGCCTGCATACTCAAATGGGCCCATTATCTCGCGGTCCACCGGGCAGCCGTCGTCGTTGATCAGCGGCTGCTCGCCCCAGTTGAGGCCGTCGCGGACCAGGCAGTTGGTCACCTTCATGCCGTACATTTCTGGTGGAAGAAGTTTATGAGTTAAAAAAAGTTTGATAAAGAAATTCGGAAAGTTCGTTACCCTGCTCCTCAATGCTAATGCTCAGACTGAGCTTGTCGCCGATTTTGACGTTCTCCGCGGCTGCGGCGCTCTGGTCAATGTGATTACCACCACTGTGGTGATGATGGTGATGACTACTTTCGGTAATGTAAATCTTCATAGAGGAGGTGGGCATTGGCGCGGTGGCGGTCAAATTCGCCGAGCCGCCCTCCGTTCCCTCTCGGTTCAGCGAGGACATGCTAGAAAAAGGAAAAATAGAAAAAGAAGGTATTTTAGCGAGTTTTATTTTTCTCAAACAGTCTCAGGCTCATTTCCTTAACAACAGTCTACAGTAGTCAGCATCATCATCATCATCATCAACAACAAGTTTTTTTTCTTCCCACAAAACGAGGAACCAACAACAAACAACAGCCGTCCTCTCCTTTCCTCTCTTTCCTCTTTTTTCTCAATTTCAAACTTTTTTGTTTAATTACAGCAAACAAAGCAGCAGCAGCAGCGGCAGTGCAGTGTAATAATTCGCCACCACAAAAAGAGGACCACCACCGCAGCAGCGGCAGTCGCACCTTTTCCCTCATCAGCGCCGAAAAGAAAAACGACAGAGGTAATTACAATCAACTGAAAAAGAAGAAAATGCATGCCAGAAAGAAGACAAGAGAGAGAGAGGATGACAGATTGAGTGAGTGAGTGGCATCCAACTTAACATTTGCTGGGGAATGTCCACCACACACAGTCAGTCTGCAGGTTGATGTTAAATTGGTAATATCAGCAGAACGTGTTTCTTCTGTGTAGCACTTGCAAGATTGTTTACACTGTTTGCTTTCTCCAAGAAAGAAGAGGAGAGAACTAGAAGAAAGTCCACTACAGGCAAAAAATGACTGTGAGCGCGTGCAACAGGTAACCGTAGTTGCTGCTGCTACTTTAGCTTTTGTTTTAGCAGCTTTTCCTTTTCTCTCTCTTTCCTTTCTTCGTCTTATCATCCACTTCTCATCACCATCCTCCTCCTCCTCCTGACAGCCTCATAATCGACCTAATTTAGCTTGCAGTGCGCGTGCTGCTGCTGAAGAGTGGACAGCAGAAAAAACTGAAAGAGAAAGTCCTGTGAACGAGTTTGTACAAGAGAAGAGAGAAAATGTTTGCCACTCAAGTCCTTCTCTGCCTTCTCTCCTGCTCGGTGTT